GGGGAGGGAGAAGGGGAGAGAGGCAGAGACAGAGAGAAGCATCCATTGGTTGCCTCCTAAATGAAGCCCAACTGGGGACTGAAGCCGAAACCTAGGTATGTGCCCTGACCAGGAATCCAACGACAACCTTTCAGTACACAGGACTACGCTCCAATCAACTGAGCTACACCCATCAGGGCTGGATCAGCTGACTTTAAAACTGAACTAAGTCAGTCAGATATGTCTGATCAGAGGTTGGAATCAGAAGTTTTAAAATTAATTGATATATCCTATGGTGGTGAATATGGATTCAACTAAGCTACTGAGTTTTCTACTAAAGTCCTCTCCAATGTGAAATTCATTCAAGAGATGAAAGTAATAGGATTATACTTTGATGAACTCAGCCAGGACAGAGAAAAACATTCTCTAACTCCGGAACCAGAGAAGAATAAATCTCATTTCACAAAGAGACAAGACAAAAACGAACTAATTTAGAGCATGCCCCTGCTAGAATAGTTTGCTAACAACTATAAAAAATTTGGAGCTCTGGCCAGTGTGGCTCAGTTGGTTGAGCATTGTCCAGTGCACTGAGGGTTAGGGGTTTGATTCCTGGTCAGTGCACATGCCCAGGTTATGGGTTCAATCTCTAGTTGGGGCGTATGTGGGAAGTAGCCAACCAATGTTCCTCTCTCACATTGCTGTTTCTCTCTACCCGTCTCCCTTCCTCTCTAAAAATCAACTAAAAATAAAAGTATCTTCGGGTGAGGATTAAAAAAAAAATTAAGAGCTACATTGGAAATTGTTACAGATAAGTCACAAGAAGGATCCCAATTTGTGAAAGGATTTGGTGGAATTGGGGGTATCTAGTGGCACTGAGATTTTTAGAGTATGGAATACTAAGGAGGAGATGATGAATTTTTTTAACCTTGATGACTACTATAGGTAGTTGACATGGGTCCGGCAAAATGAGTTTCACCCTCCTGCATCCAACCCAAGGAGCATACCCATGGTGGAATCCAAACAGATCCCTTCCTTATAGTTGGGACATTTCCAGAACTTAACCCATGAGCATTGGATATTGGGGGGGGAAAAAGAAACAAAATCTGACTGAATCCTATACTTTGGTTTGTCCCTGTGTCAGCGCAGCAGGCTACAACTTAGTTGTGTGTTTTTTTAAATATGTCTTTACTGATTTCAGAGAGGAAAGGAGAGGGAGGGCTAGAAACATCAATGATGAGAGACTCATTGATCGGCTGCCTTGAGCCCGCAATCCAGGCATGTGCCCTGACCAGGAATCAAACCCCAATCACCTGGATTCTAGGTCAACGCTCAACCGCTGAGCCACGCCCGGCCGGGCTACAACTTAGTTCTTAAATGCCACTTTGGGCTAATTTAAACAAGAACTCCAACTAGATTTTTATGATGAGCAAATAAAAATCTTTATGTGATTAGGTAAAAAAACAAAAAACAATCAGAATCCCAGCTGTTACTTTTACTCAGTGGTAAAATTAGTTGTTCTTGTATTTTATGAAAAAGAAAATGATTTTTTTAACCTTCATACATAGAAGCAAAGATACTTTAACTGCTGTAAACCTTCAAAAGTTAACAGAAATGAGATCGTAAAAATAAATAAATAAATAAATAAATAAATAAGGCCTCAATACTCATAAGACAAGTTAAAAAACAACAACAGTAAATTTCTATGCTGAAGAAACTTTTGTAGTTCACAGAGCTGGGCTAGTTAGTTAAACAAACTGAACAGGGAAAGCTGGATAGCTGCCCTGCTTTTGACTGAAGAGATGCTCCTGTGATCACAGGAACAAAGGCAATTCCTTGGCTGGGGTCAACAGTAGAGGTATTAAAATATTCCTATGTTTCTGTAGGTCTCTTGATTGCCTTTCCTTTTGACTCTGTAGGTTTGGGGACACCCAGAGACACAGTCTGCCTGCAGACTGCAGGAATATCAATCCTTGGGGTTTAAAAAAAATTCCACCTCAGGAGCACCACACAGCAGCTTTGTTCAAAAGTTTGTTTGAACTCTTTTGACCTGACCTTACTTTGGTTACCAAAGAAACTATCCTGGCCCACAGTGAGGGTGGGTATGTGTGAACTGAGTAGAGGGTCTCCTGAGGTGTATGAGAGGAAAGATTCTATGCCTAGATGTGCCAAGTTTG